CAAAATAAAACAAAATGATGGTACCAAAAGTTCAAGACGGTGATCAGCACAATATGATATTAGGGTGGTGCAGTTGGAGACTAGATATGTCAGAAGTCACCATGAAGTTATAGTTTGTTTTCAAGATGATTTTGCTTGGTGATGTTCTTAACAAAAAGGGATTTTAAGAGGAAGATTGAAGAGTAAAATCTCCACTCACCATCCACCAGGTCCTCGCCGACACATCATAACAAAGCTGCCATTTAATGGACCTCTCCGTCAGTGTCCCAGCCATCCCGGTGCTCCGCCTGTCATGTGGAGGAAGAGACACCTAATCACAGAGGAGGCAGTGGAAGCATGCTGTGCCACCCGGAGGCCAGGCCTTCACAATGATGCATCATGGGAAGGGAAGAAGTAGAAGAAGAAAAAAAAAATAAGCAACAACTTGACCAGTGACTTGAACCTGACTGTGGTGATTACAGACAGCCGTGACCCTGCAACCCTCACCACCCCTCCCACAACAACCTCCCCCTTCTCCCCCCTAACAGAGCTGGGAGGTATCCACAAAGGAGCTGCTTCAGATCACTGCCCACGGGTGAGAGAAGTCACTTTACTGAAGAAAAAGCAGTAGAAATAATCTATTATAGGTTAAACTGCTGCATTCATTTTTGATACTTAGTTAAAGTACAAAAGTATTAGCATCAATATATACTTAAAGTCTCAAAGTATGCATTTCAGGAATAACGTTATAACACTCATAGAACCACTACATACTTTTAATTTAGCAGCTGGTAAAGGTGGACCTACATTTAATTACTTTTTATAATGCAGGTGTACTATTATTGTGTCCATAAAAGTACATCATAATTCATTAGAATGATATCTTATATCAATAATCCCAACCTTCAAAGTATCTTGTTTTGTAACATATATGGATAGGAGTAAAAAGTACAATATTGTAATTGTAGTGGAGTAGAAGTATGAATAAGCATGAAATGGCAATACTCAAATAAAGTACAAGTACCTATACATTTGACTTTAGTACAGACATTTAGTACATTTACAAAGCTAATTTCAAATGATTAGTTATTTATAATATTACTTCTGCACATTGTTGATGAGGATTTATCACAATGTAATGTTTTTTGACATTAACACTTAACATTGTTGATAAGGATTTATCAACAATGGATGTTCTCAATGTCAATTTGGTTCAATATATATACCAATCATGTAGATCAAGCTAAGAGACCTGTTGCTTTGGTTTCCCCTCAGTGTCAGGGATCATCTGTTATTTTTTACTCATAAATAAAGACATTTGGCGTGCCCTAGTAAATCTCCATGTGTCTGAAGTCCAGCTGAAAAGAGCTTTTCTCTCCTGCCACATTCCTCTCCTCCTCTCCGAGGCAGCTGGATTTCCCCACAGAGAAGGTGGGTGGATTTACAAACAGTAACTTAGCATTAGTTACAACAAATACGGAAAAAAATCTGTGCTAATGCTGAACAATAAAGAGCTTCAATTGACTTTATTGTAGGTTTTAACACATATATAACAGAAGTTGCTGAACGGAATACAATTGATAATTTATAGACATTTGATGTAAATTAAGATTAACCTCTCGAATGATACACCTGCTGTGAAGATGTTGCTGTATGTTTGCCTTACCGCTGATTGCAATACATAGCTGCCTTTAATAATTGACTGCTCCCAGCTGACCTTTCCAGTGCACCTGACTTGAATAAAGCACTAATTAGGAGCTGGCCATTTTAATTGGTTGTTAAACGCAGAGAACAATGAGACACTCAGCAGCCATCGAGGAAGACAAATGTCAGCATGAAGGAGAAATTAGTCTAAATCCTTAATACTATTTGAACCTTTTTATTTATTTATTTCCTTTATTTCGGTATTTTATCTTATTTGTTGATACATGTTTCAGTTTACTGTTTTATTTTAACTTCTCTCTACAGCTCCCTGGACCCACCTCTGCATTTAAACGTCCTCCATAAATAAAGTGGCCTCGCATGGTTATATGCATTTGTTCGGCTTTTCTTGTAACAAAATCTAATTTCACATTTTAAAAGAACCATATTGATCTGTTTCCAGCATTGGGCCGTTTTTAACACTTCAAAAAACATATTTAACAATGTTTTATCACCATGTGACTTAATAACTTCTTCCACTTTTATGAATACTGCTGATAAACAATATTTTTAAACTTGTGTTTCAGAGGACTACAACTAAAACTTAAGCATTACTTCTGTATAAAGACCCTGGCTGTAATGCATGGTTAATAAGAGATAATAGATGTTTCATATTTCACCATTGGTTTTGAAAGCAGTGTATCCCAAACAAGTCCATTACATTTTTTTAAGTTTTATATTTTTGTTCATAGGAGTCCCTACAAGTAAATTCCTCCAGTCTAAATGTCTTAATCAGTGACATCGTTCAGCTGTCCTGAAATGTGTCTTCCATTCTTTTTGAGAAAGGAAACGTTCAGGGCCGATCTGTGCACCTTATTGATTTTGAGCGTAAAATCGATACATTTCATCGTCTTGATAGGATTAACTGTTTCAAGTTCAACATTTTTAATTGGATTTCTACTTTCTACAATGTGAGCTTATTTGAAAATCAATACGCCAATCAATACCTCCTTTTTCAGGAAGTTCAGCAGCGGAGCTGAAAATGGAGGAACGTAGCAGACACCTGCTACTGGAAGCACACACACTATGACTCACTGAGGTCTGAAATATCTAATTATGCCTTTATTAACAGTGACAACGAAGACAATAATAGTTTCTCACTATGTCAACGTTTCTACCCAAGATTAGGTCTGTGAGAAACACTCGTTTTAAAGATTGAAAAAGCAGATTGGATTGTTTTTTGCATTATTTACATGAAAAAAGAGCATTTCCTTAATGATAAGAAAAACCACTACTACAAAACATTGATTATCAAACATTTTGGATCCTACCTGAAGCACTAAATAAATAAAAAGTCCTCTAAGTAAAGCATAACTGATCTTTGGGGATGACCCTATAATCACCAACTCGTGTAAGCAAAATGGCCCATATGGATGGAAATCTAAAAATGATCATGCAAACCCATAATTTGTGATCCGATCATAAATCATATCTTCGAGACTTAATCCGTGTCTAGGCTTGGCGAAATGGCACAGAACACGCCAAGCCACTAACTCCAAACCCAGACAGGTAAACAGCCTCGTATCTGAGAGATAACTGATGCAAGCATATAGTTTATGTTTATAAAGCATGTGGCTAATTATTTCTTTTGTTCAGCCAGATGTCATAGACTATAAGAGTAGCAGGTGGTCACTTATTTAATTAGTCCAGTTGAACAACCATTACCAGAGATTAGAAGCACATTTAACCCAGGCCGCTGCAGACTGCTATTATCTGCACAGGACTCTTTTCATTTTAATATGCCACAGCCCAAACTCACTAATTAAAATCCTGCCAGGCTAATTAAAACACTCTGGTGTGTTTGTGTTAGTAAATGATGTCATCAAAACTGGTTTGGATGTTAGTTCTGAAAACAATACAATAAGTACAATTTGTTCCAGGACTATATTAGATGGTTTCATTCATCCCTTAATTCTATCTATAAAAAAAAAGCACAACCCTTCAAAAGCATCAGTCATAAAAAAGCATAATCCCGGACTCACAACTAAGTTAGTGATGACCTTATTGAAGCTGTGGACAAATCAACATCTTTGGTTGGTCAAGATAGGGAATTGCAGATTATGCAAAGAAACTCTCACAATAAGTTATAATATACATCTGCGATTCAATATAATTATTTGTTTCCTAACAGAATGTAAGGAAAACTGATTACAGGATGTTTTAGGATATTCGTGATATGACCTTTCTATATTGTACAATGCCTATAACACCCAGCCTTTTAGGGTTGCCGAGTTCAATACAATGTGCGTGTGTGTATGGCCGTGTGTTCAGTGTATGTTTAAAACATGTAACCATTTTAGACAATGCACATAGATTATGTTCACGGATCATGCACACATTACACACGCGTCACTGAGACATAAGATGAGACAATGGCAAGAACTGAACTGCTGCTCTTATTTTGACACACAATGCACTGGGAGAATCAGGCTGTCTGACTTTAATGACCCAGAATCAGGCATTTACTGCAACATTGGCTAGTCTTTGGAATAAAAAAGGAAATATATTTTCCAAGACAGAACATATTAGATTATTTTAATTTAAATGCTACTAGTCTAAGGTAAATAATGATCTCGATAAGTACTGAACGCGTTGAACAGGATCAATCTTGTCATGTCTGACTGAGGGCCTCTGTCATTACGTTACACATTTTACGGCTGATTACTTCACTTAATAGACAAAGGGAAGCAATTTGTCGGCAGTCTTTGAAGACGCTCCATCTACTCCTTCTATGTAGACATTGCTCTCCAATATGGGAATGTCCAAAGATTCAAACTGCTGGAAGGATTTTATAAATTGTGTGTCAAGTATACTTAAATGTAAAACTCCAGCCTTGATTGCAGTAACTCAGGGCACCTGGGTCTGGTGCCCTGCAGCTATTTAAAGCCTCTTTGTCTCTCTCTGCTTTTCCCTACAGGCCGCCGGTTTTGTTGAGTATATGCTGTTGTTACTTTAGTTGCTTTACTTTGTGCACCTCAACACCCTCACACATACAGTACACGTCCATGCAACCCTCACCCTGTATTTACACTACTGATACCACTGACGTCCACACCTCATGCTTTACTTATTGTTGCACTTCATTCATTTGGCTAATTTGAATTGTTTGGTTAAATAAACATCTTTTATTAACCGTTGATATGGTGTGTCTCCTCTTTGTTGTGGCCTTTTGAGCCAGGTCATAACAGCTTGTAATATAACCAGAGAATTTTATTTACCACAAACACTTTGTACTTTGAGTTAATAGAACAAGAATATGATGTTTTATATACCCACAATTAAACCGTTTCCATAGGCATTTATAAACAAAAAGAAATGTATGACATATTCATTGTGTATTTATTTAATTCACAAAACGTAACCAGTGTTTGAGGTATGAATCAAAAACAATAAAGCTTGAAACACATTTGGAGTACAGCAAAAGGACAGTGTGAAGAAAATTGCACAGATACCAACTGAGAGCCCTGGGGGACGCCAGATCGCACACCTCCAGTCTGCAGCTCTGTATTCAAATCTAACAAACTCAAACCAGTCTTATACTGTAAATGAAAAAACTGTAAAACTACACAAAGCAGCTACAGTAGTGTTAATTCTGGCTGAGGTTACTGAAGTATTGATGTCAAGTAAACGCTGGTTAGTACGTCATCTGTCCAGTTTACATACTTCAAAATACATTTGAGAATTCCACTACTGTTGTAACAATACAATGGCTTTTACTTGTACACAATGCTTATTGCTTTTAAAACATATTTCTAAAAGTGATCGGTACCCCCTTATTATATGACAATCATACACATTTGCCCAGTCTTTATCCCACCGCAAAATAAAACAAATCACAAACAAGAACCTGAATCCGAGTTATAAAAACCACTTATCAACACACACTCGTGCAAAAGCAAACAATCTGATTTAAAATATGAATAAAACACATAAATACAATAACTTTAAATTGAGACTTCCTTTCAATATATCCAGTAAAACTCACTGAGTACCAGTGTGAAAAACAGTGCATAATATTGAACCTCTACCATCATACATTTGGTGAAACATGCATTTTACTGAATGCTTGTTGACTATTGCAACGTTTCCCCAGGTCTTTGGCTTTGATGGAGACCAACGTGATAATGATGATGTACCGTGAGAGTAAAAATAACACCTATAAAAGGCACTTAAAACTACTTGGATATTGTTATATTTCCCACACTTGGCAAGCTTTGTTTACGTACAGGTTTATCTATAGGATTGTCAAGTTTTACACACTGTGACAACCACGCTTTATAATTATGTAATGAATCATCTTCTCCTTATATATCCTGTTAAATGATTCAATAACATCTCTAAACAGTACTATAGCTTTACAGCAAAACCAGCATACATAAATCAGTGTTTTGTCAAGTGTCACCACATGTAGACTTATCTGCTAGTTGTTGTTCTATTATTAAAGTTATGCATTCACAGACATTCAGACACATTTAAAACGTAACTTTAAAAGCATATAAACCACAAATTCTAGTCAAATGAGAAATTAATTTGTGCTCATGCATTGTAAGTGCTATGGTCGATAGACTGAGTTAAAGGAAAAGTTAGATATTCAAGTAATTACTAATATTTCTTTATTTATACAGACTTAGATGAGAAGATTGATATCATTGTATTTCCCAAAAAGTCAAACTATTCTTGCAACATAAACAAAGTGGTTTATCTTTGAGGATAACATTTGACACTTAAACCCTTTCAATAAGAGTTACACAACAGGATATGATAAGGTGATAATATTAATTGGCTGTGGAATGTCTATTATACTCAGAGAAACATCTTGATTATACAGCAGGTTTGACTATGACATTTACAGCCTTGACCGATAGTATAAAGTTGTTTCTACGTTTTTTCCATGGCACGGTGAAGTGCTAACTGTCGGCTTGCTACTACACACCTTCATACCTGGCCTGTCATGTGTGTCATAAAAATGTCATGTATCAGTATTCAAGTTATGGAATTTGCTCTGTGATCAAGCGTCATAAAACATCCCTTAATAGATCAAGTGTTCAGAGAACAATCCAAGAGAAACATTCATGAATCATCATATGATCACAGGTTAAAGGATATCCAGATCCCTTCACTATTCACAATAAGATCACCAAGAACACATAGAAAAACTGCTCATGCATGACAAATCAAAATGGCATAGTTAAAAGAAACAAGGCACAAACTTTATACAAAAACACGCCTTTCTTACAGTCACTCTGGTTCTGTCTGTAGCTGATTAAAGGTCAGTAGTGAAGGCTCTTTGTCAAAGTAACCTGAGAGGGGTCCCTTTCGCCAGCTTTTCCATTCCTTCGAATAGCCATTAAAAGTGTTTTCAAAATGCTGAAAGTAGCAGTCACAGTGAGTAAAAAAAGCAACATTTTCCCATCACTCCCTTAGGTGTTTCTTGACCCTGTTTACTGTCAGGCCTTGTGGAGAAAGGCAAAAAAAAGAAGAAAAAAAGCGGAGAATATCCACAAACCTGCTGCCCGGCTCCAACAGCACAAAAGAGGACGGTGAAGGCGAGCAGATGGATTCAAAGTGTGTTTTCAGTGTTTCATCATGGCAGCACCTACCATCTGTGCAGGCAGGAGGTACTGTGGACCTACCGGCCCTAGACGTGGGTGCGGAAGTGGTGACTGGCTTGGATCGGCTGCCTGTTTCGGAGCGGGATGAGCCACAGGAGTTTCCAGCGAGTGCCACAAACTTCAGTGAGCGCCCACTGCCAGGATTTCTTTGAGCCATATCTAAAAAGAAAAACAAAAGAAAAATAATTCATGTTAAAACTTGAGATTCCCCCTGAGAGAGAGACCAGCAGGAAGAAAAGTTGCATAAAGCTGTTTTGTCTTTCTCTTTTAAGCAGCGTTTTTTGTGTTGCATTTATTTTCTGGTAGCCTAATGTTCTTAGTAATTCTTATTTTGCATTATTTGTTTTGGAGATTCTTATGTGTCTTTTCATTGGCATTTTTTCTAAAGCTGCAGCACGTCTCTCCTTATTGACATTTGTTGATCTGTTCTGTTGTAGCCTGTATGTGCTTGTTAGCCACTGTAGAAGCTGAAGCTAGCAGCCGGTTAGCTTAGCATAAAGACTGTCCTGAGCAAGCCCGCTTTGTCCAGAGGTAATACAAGTCAAATTAGATATCACTTTTTCAGTGAGCTTTATATGTGCTGTTAGATTAATTGTTTTTAAAACCTTTTTATACAGAGTGAGGCTGACGGCCCGTCCACACAGCGGCGTGCGTTGAAAGCTTCACCATTCACTTTGAATGGGGTGACGTCACTTTTCGCCGAACTGCATTGTGGGAAGCGAAGCGGAGCTTTGCTGGCGTGGCTCGCTGCAAAAGTTGAGCAATGTTCAACTTTTGAAGCCTCGGCAGAAGCGTCAGCCTGGGCCAATCGAATCATATGCCAGTACAAGCTCTAGCCAATCAAACGGCTGCTTGTGTGTCAGGGGCGGGAGATTCATGTGATTGGTTGTTGGTCGAGTTTCAGACACGCCCGCCGGCAAGCTTCAACGCACGCCGCTGTGTGGACGGGCCGTAACTGTTTCCCCTATGTTCCTTTCCTTATGCTAAGCTAAATGGCTGCTTGCTCCAGCATGGTGTCGATTTCTGAGCTAACTCTCAACAAGATAGAGAATAATTGACACTTTGGGACCAGCAAAGTTAAACATACTCACACTTCATTTGAGAACTGAGCCATCTTCTCAATGGTGGTAGTATCCTGTAGGGGGCGCAAAGCAAAATTAAAAGATATTTTTCGTATATAGAAACTTTCCTCTAAATAACCAACCCAGTCTCCCGCCATTTCGTGTTATAGTCACGAAATTAATTTAATCTATTGATTCGTGTTCACCAACACGATTTTCGCATTTTTTTCGTGTCACACAGAACAATTTTAAAAGCAATGTATTTCTATTGGTAGTATGTTTCGTGCCTGCACCACGTCTTTTTGTCCAGTCGAGTCTTGGAATACCAGAAGCTGTGTGGTTCATAAACACATTTTCTTACTCAATATCTTACCCTAAGACTAACCCTATCCCTTTTATTTTAAAATGTATAATGTCGGAGTTTTTTTTGCCGTCCGCGAGGAAAATAAATGGGGCTCAGAGCCTCAGAATACTGAAATTTGTATTTTTTTTTATCTGTTTTTCCTTCTAATTTGTTATTATTTACATTGCTTTTAAAATCGTTCTGTGTGACACGAAAAAAATTACGAAATCGTGTTGGTGAACACGAATCAATATATTAATTTCGTGACTATAACACGAAATGCTGTGAGACTGTGTTGAAATAACAGCTTGCCAACAGTGTTTCGTAGCTAAGCTGAGTATATATGGATGTTTCTAACATTACAGCTTTGACAAAATTCTTGAAGAAAGCTTGAAAATGACTTTGGCTTGTACTAGAATTATATCTTGGAAAATATCACAAATGCAATTCTTCATATCTTGCTGGTAAATGTTGTCATTGACAGGATGCACAAACACTTGCAGGCACACACACATTCACACACCGCCTGGGCCCAGTTGTTCTCTCTTGTTTCTTTCCTATTGATCACTCCATTACTGGCATTGATTGTTTTATTTTTGTGTATAATGTCATTTGGTTGAGTCTGCAGCTTTGTGTGCTGCTGTCTAGTTTGCTCGATTGTTCTTCAAAAGACAGAACTTGCTTCAATAGGACAAACAAGTTCAATTATAACGCAAAAAAAGTACCATTTGAATGTTCCTACAAACTAATGGTAAAGATTTACATAAGCTTGGAAGTAATTGCTGCAGTCTGTTAAGAAAATACATAATATTCCGTCTTAATCACAGCAGAGGATGTCATTTGAAACATGATAATGAGTGTTTAGTCCTCACTGTGTACTCACAGAGAGGATGCCAGCCATCTGAGTGTAAAACAAGCTGCTCATGCCACCAAACATCATGAGACCCATCAGCGTTGAGACTCTCATCAGAGCCAGTTCATGGTGAGTTGTAAACTTCTCCTGGTGGAAGGAAACAGAACACTACATCTCTTATATTTGTTTTTGCAACTGATTCTTACAGGATGGAGCATTGCATCAAGCACTTTAACCTTCATGCCTCACATCACAAAGGAAACTTTTTCTCCTTTCTTTTAATAGAATTGTGTCTGTTCTAATGCAGATGGCCTGATGTGTGTGTTTTTGTTCCAACTTTAAAGTTTAACCTCAGCTCCTTTAATACAAGTCTATAATAAGGTGTGTCACTAAAAAACAGATAGTAAGAATCTTGAGTAAAACATTTCCCCATTAAAACCAACATTTCTAGTTAGGTCTGGTTTCCTGCTCAAAAAAAAAGTTATTCCCATATTATGAGAGAACATTTGTTATTTTCATAACAACCAAATATCATGTACAAAAACTTTAATTTAAAGGTGGGGTAGGTAAGTTTGAGAAACCGGCTCGAGATCGCTAGAATTTGAAAATACACAACCGAAGAAAATCTGCCACTTCCTTACAGAGCCCCTCCTCCAACACACACGAACGCGCACATGACCAATGAGGGCACGAGATAAGTTTGTGCACAGATGGAAGGCTGACAGGCAGGTAGGCCATCCAGTTATTTTAGCCAGGCCGGCTAAAATGATTGGTCGTGCTTTTTACAGTATTACGGCTTCCACAGATGACATTTTTTTATGGATTTTTTGTCAAAGCACTTAATATATTCATTGCTATCAGGATGTTAAGAGCATTCCATGGAATATAACAAAAAGTGTATCTCGAGCCGGTTTCTCAAACTTACCTACCCCACCGTTAAATGGGTAAATGTATGATAAAGAATGAACATTTGCCAATAATCAGGACTAAAGTTGGTTCAAATATTATTTCTGTGAAAGTAGAACATAATATAACAATATCATCAGTTTTGTATGCATTTATATTTGTCCTGTAAAGACATTTAAAGGGATGCACAAGGATTATGATGAATGGATACTGATACACATGTCTGAAATACAATTTGTGAACTCCCAAATCATTTTTCTGTCAAATGAAGGTATGATTTACTGATTTTCCCGCAGAATGTACCTGGTCTAGTCCTGTGAGTGGCTGGAAGTAATAGTACTGGCAGAAGTCCAGCACCAGGGTGAACAGACTGAGAACCTGAGTGTAGAAACAGAGCTGCAGGAAGAGCCAGTGGTTGTCTTCTCCCACACAGTTATTGATCCTGGAAAGAAGCAAACAGGATTTAAAACATGACCTCATATCATGTGTGTGTGTGTGTGTGTGTGTGTGTGTGTGTGTGTGTGTGTGTGTGTGTGTGTGTGTGTGTGTGTGTGTGTGTGTGTGTGTGTGTGTGTGTGTGTGTGTGTGTGTGTGTGTGTGTGTGTGTGTGTGTGTGTGTGTGTGTCCTTACCAAGGACAGTGGTGGTCCATTTTGCGCACACAGTGGCCACACCGACTGCAGTGGTGGGACCTTTTGGGTCTCATCAAGTTGCATTTATTGCACAACTCCCAGTGCTCTCGCTCTGTGACACAAAAATATCACCTGTAGTATTATATATCATTAGGTGACACAGTAATAGCATATTTACAGACTGAATGAGAAGTATTCGCTGATATCCATTTCACATGCTTATCAATTCCTATTAACGATGCCAGCATGTTTTTCCCACAGATGCTAAAAACTCTATTCAAATCTTACTTGTAACACATGACTATATTTCTACGGAAGAATTGTGCATTTAATCAGTCAGTTTTATATTTGTTTTTCAAGTGATGTCCTTCTAAGAAAAGGAGCATTTTATTGTAATGTGTTCATATGTAGTTGGGACGATATTCTACAATGTATGACAACAATAAAGATTGGTATAATTAAAATATGTAATTCTATTCCCTAAATGTGACACCCTGGATGTGGATCCATACCGGAGTGAGGTATTTTGGGGTCTACAGGAAGACGGCCAGGATCCGCCGTAGAAGCTCTGAAGAGGGCCGCCAAGCAGAGTCCTGATGCGATGTAATAACCTGAGGGAATACACAGTGGTCAATTCCCTCCCCAACCGGTGACAAATGTTCTTTTTAATCTATTTATCTGTGTCTCAAAAAGGATACGCACAAACTACGATGGCCCAGGGGATGTGTCCCTCGTTGTAGTGTGGAAGCAGAACCAGTTTAGGGATGAAGAAGGTGTTGTAGAGCCAGATCCCAAACACCATGCTGATACACAGCCAGCCCATAGGGTCCACCACGAAGTGCAGTCGTAGCTTCATGGCTGCTGGGAAACCTGCAACGACACACACAGCTGCTTTTAGATACTTGGGAGGAGATCTTCAGATATCAGACAGGTTGTGGCTGATAGAACAGCCCCTGACCTCACACATCTTGAAAGACTTGACATACATGTTGTACTGGATTGTTATTATTCCTTTGCATTACCAGAGAGGGAGAGTAACAATAAGTTGCAGCCTTACGTTTTTGACTTACAAATTAAACTGTAACATAGTTCCCTGTATTGTTATCCATGTATTTCTTTTGGTTTTAGAATTGATTGATAGCATTGACTGGTTAGTTTGTTTGCTTGCTTTGTGTGCTTCTTTTTTCATTTAATCAATGTGTTGGTTGTATGTAACTTTTAAATTGGTTGTACTTTTCCTGAAGTAAAAGGGATTGTCGTATAAGCCTATGAATAGAATATAGAATTGGGAGGGATGAAACCCTCTTTTAATGGTCACACATGCAGAGCACACAGCACACACAGTGAAATTTGTTCTCTGCTTTTAACCCATCCTAGTACCAGGAGTCTAGTACTAGGAGCAGTGGGCAGCTATTGTACAGCGCCCGGGGAGCAATGGGAGTGAGGGGGGAAGGGGGGTGTCCGGTGCCTTGCTTAAGGGCACCACGGCAGGGCAGGAGGTGAACTGGGACCTCTCCAAGTAGCAGTCCACACTCCATATTGTAGGTCTGGTCGGGGACTTGAACCGGCAACCCTACAGCTTCATAACCTCTCCTGTCACATCTCCCTTTTTTATTATCTTAATTTTAGGCAGTCCTAATAGTTATGTTACTTATTAAATTATTACATGGAAATTAATAATATGTTATCTATTGCATTTCACAAGTAACCTTCCCAACACTGTGTGAAAGACTATCATCATCATCATCATCATCATCAGTGGTACCATTGATTTAATCAAAGCTGTGACATTTTGCTTTAAATATTGTAACATAGCATTGAAAATGTTTCTGTATATGACTGACCAAAAGCAAAATGGAATGATTGAGATATCTGACATGGGTTGAGGAGGGAATATTGGGTCATGTTTTTCAATTGGTCAACACAGGCCTACTACTATCTACTACTACTGTGTCATGAAGCAGGTGTCTATAAACAAGCCCAGCCCTAACCACCTCACATCACCTTACACATATTTTAAACATGATCAGTTTGAGCTAATATTGCCCAGCCTGACAGCCCTGATGATAAACCTGCTAATATGCTATAACCTTGTTATTGGCCAGCCTCGCCTGCTCCATCCTTCATACTGCTGACAACACTGGAGCCGCGATGGGCTTGGCTCTATAGCTTCACTGTCAGCTAACAGAAGCGTGTTAACGTGACCTCATGTTCATATACAAATCACACAATTCAACGTAATGACCGTAAATCATGATATCCTACAATAAAATGAAAAGATACATACTTTTTTCGTGCTGTCCTATTCCTTATTCGGGGCACGTATCATCAGTGTAGCTACTTCCTCATCCGAGCCTCTGTGGGCTGGACAGGAGCAGCGGTGTGACACCTGCAACAAAATAAAACACACTTCCTTTTTACTACAAAATAAAACATTCTGATTACGAAATAATTATTGAAGTTTTTAATTTACCAGAAGAACAATTATCTTCTGCCACATAAATAGCTAATACAATTAATTCAAATAAATAAATAAATAAACTACTTTTGGTTTGACTTTTCATAACAATTGCAAAAAGCATACTTTTTGGAAGTTATTTTTGATTTCCTTTATGTAAAGAAACTATAACAAGTCAAACAGACTACTTAAAATATAAATACATTTTAGGTTTTAATCTTATTCCATTTGCCTCTTTCGACTACAAACATTTTGTTTCAAAAACGTAATGAAGCCTGTGTTTGGTGGGAGCTTATGAATGCTAGAATCGGAATAGTTATGTTTTTATTTGAACAAAACACGTTTCCTGTTGTATACTGGTTGTTTTCGGCAGCTTGATAAACAGGTGGGCGGTGGACTCTCTTGAGCGCAGTGCAGCAGCAGCAGTGAAAACAATTTGCTGCCATCTTCTGGTGATAAATGATGATTACATCTCGAGGCCATCCACTTAAATCCTATTATAAAAGATGATAAAGAAACATTACATTATTATAACATTAAATAATACATCTTACAGAATTAGCTTTATGAATGTAAAGTAAAACATATAAATTGGCTCTCTGCTAAACCTAGGTTTTTGTTTTCAAAGTAGCATTATGCTAACATTTTACATTCTTAGTTTGAGTGAATAGTTTCCATAACATGTAGGCCTACAGAATTTTCCGAATGAATACTAGAAAATCCCCCCCTTACAGTCATTTTCTTTTGCTCAATAAATAATTCATTACGAAATTGTGACTTTTAATATTTTTTTAGTAGACCAGTTTTCCATGGTCTACTTCCTGTGACAGAGTTAGCGCATGACATGACAGTGACGTAATTCTACTTCCGCTAGCATTAGCGGCCGGTGTTTGTTGACAGCAACGCCGCATATCACAACTCAACTGTGGTAGTTCGTCGTGTTGTTGGGACAAAATGGCATCATCTAGCTCATACAAACTCCGGTGCTCCATCCCGGGCCATGAGATGGACGTAAGGGGACTCGCGAGTGCTGTTTTTCCAGAGGGAGCTTTTGTGTCTGTGTCCAGAGACCGAACCGGAAGAGTCTGGGTACCAAACTCAAGGTAGCTAGCATTAGCCTGCTACACACTAACTAATTGTGTTGGTCGGCGAGGTTTTAGTTTAGTTTATAATGACCTATCCTCACTTAACCAAAACAGTAGCAAGCGGATTAATAACCCCATTAAAGTTGCAGCTGTTTATTCAAAAGTGTTAGCTTGGTAACGGCAGTTAAGTTAGCTAGCTGAGCGGTTTGCTAACGTTACTCAAATTAGCTTTGTCATTCATTCAACTGCAACTCCCAATGTACACAGCGCGCATCTCCCAGCAGCTGTTAAAGTCCACCACATTTAGATTGATGGACTGTTAATTTACTGAACTTTTTATAAGCCACAAAATTGACAACCACTTGTTCCTTCCAGTATTAAGTTACGAATTTACTCAAGATCTGTAAATGTTGAGGTTCTTATCTTTAACTCCACTACATTTCATAGGCAAATATTGTACTTTTTTAAATCACACACTACACAAAAACATTCAGTCACTAGTTTCTACAAAGATTTAGATAAATAACACGAAATATTGTCAACAAAAAAAGATGATTTATTGTTAGGACTTTATTGATCCCCTGCTGGCAGATAACACAAAATCTATCTACATATTAATCCAACAATACTTATTATTCTGATGTATAATTGTGAAATGGGCTTTTTTGTTGTGTAATTTTACCTTTTGTACTATATTTTGTGTAAGCAATTATTTTAGTTGAATTATGTTAAATTTACATGCAAGACTTTTTACTGGCAACAGATTCGCCTATTTACTACATTGTCACTATAGTAATTGATCTGAGTAGTTCTTCCACTACTGGTTTTCGCACAAATAACCACTGTCTTTGTTTTCTCTCACCCTCTCTTGACAGCCCTGATAACGGTTTCACAGAGATGCACAGTATTTCTGGCCACACCAATTTTGTATCCTGCGTATGCGTCATCGCTCCCAGTGAAACATATCCTCGAGGACTCATTGCCTCAGGTGGAAATGATAATAACATATGTGTGTTCACACTGGACCAAGCACAGCCGGTATTCACTCTCACAGGTCACAAAAACACAGGTGAGTAGTGCTGTGCACTCCCAGGTTGATTACATTCTAATAGGCATCTTATTTATCATAATGTCGAGAAATCTCAGTTTTTCTGGTGCAAACTATCTATGCTTACTCTCCACAGTTTGCACTCTGTCTTCTGGGAAGTTTGGCACACTTTTAAGTGGCTCCTGGGACACCACCGCCAAAGTGTGGCTCAATGAAAAGTGCATGATGACCCTGCAGGTACGCTGAAGCTTCTATGGTGCCACTCTGAATGTCTGGCTGTTTGTCAGATGTTGTTTTCTTTGATAGACTGTGGTTGACATTATCACTTTTACAACATGTCTCAACGTTGATTTGATATATATGCAACTGCAACAAGCGATCATTTTAATATGGTGTGTGGGACAGATTATAACCTTTGCTCGTTTATTTTTTCTACAGGGCCACACCGCAGCAGTGTGGGCAGTGGTCATCTTACCTGAACAAGGCCTTATGCTGTCCGGATCAGCAGACAAGACCATAAAGCTTTGGAAAGCTGGTCGCTGTGAGAAAACGTACACAGGTGAGAGTTAGATTGACACAATTCCTTTTTTTCTTTGTTTTTTGATCAGTGTGCTAAAACTAAAGTGTAGCTGTTGATAAGTAGGAACAGTTAATTATTTAATTCTTTGATAATGAATAAACATAATTTTGGCTTATCTTTTTAATCTTTACAACAATAAACTACATTTTCTGGGAGCCCAGGGGTTTAAGGTTTAAATCTATGATAACAACACAACCTGTTTTTCTCTCTTTTCAGGACATGAGGACTGTGTCCGAGGGCTGGCAGTGATCAGCGACACTGAGTTCTTCTCTTGCAGCAACGACGCAAGTATCAGAAGATGGCTGGTGACTGGGGAGTGTGTACAGGTCTACTACAGCCACACCAACTACATCTACAGCATATCCGTCTTCCCCAATTGCCAAGGTTTGTTCCATTATATTGATATTTAAATGCCTATAAAAGAGCAGAATGGTGTGTGTAATGTTTGTAACAAACTGTAGGACCATGGTCATTTATTGAACCGGAATTTGTTTAACTGACAGACTTTATTTATTGATAATCAGAAAGTGATACAACTCATTTACAACGTGGTCTCAAGATGTAACAAGATGAAGACAAATACAAACAAACTTCCCTCACTAAAAACTAAAATAGCTAAATTAGCAACTTGATTGCAAGTTTTACTTGAAATCAGTTTAGGACTGACTTCTATAAGCCTGTCAAATGTAAACACTTGAAAAAACAAGGCCAGTGTTCCTGCTGTAAGATGGTAGCTGGCTCAACCTGATTTCTGACTGATGCTTATCCATTAGACTTTGTAACAACGGGAGAGGACAGGACTGTGAGGATATGGAGGCAGGGAGAGTGCTCTCAGACCATCCGTCTGCCCGCCCAGTCCGTCTGGTGCTGCTGTATTCTACCTAACGGCGATATCGCCATTGGAGCCAGGTAAGAACTTTTCTTCTCTACTTTTCCTCTAGTTTCATTTCTGACATGACTCATGCAATCACGCAACATGATGGAGATTCTCAGATTTGTTCTGCTCCTGTGCTACAGTGACGGCATTATCCGTGTGTTCACGGAAGTCGTAGACCGCATTGCGAGTGCAGAGGACCTGCAGGCTTTTGAGGATGAACTCGCCAAAACCATCATTGACCCTAAGACGGGCGACCTCGGAGACATCAAAATTGAGGATCTTCCTGGAAGGGAACACCTTGAAGAGCCTGGTAAAGAAAGAGACATTTATGTTATGATATTTACATCCAAGATTGCTCAATTCTGTCTGAAAATGAAAAAGACCCAATGCTATTTCTACATCGAGATTTTTTTGGCTTATTTCCTCAAGGGAATCGTGACGGACAGACGCGTCTGATTAAAGAAGGAGATAAGGTGGAGGCATATCAATGGAGTGTCAGTGATGCCCGCTGGATGAAAATCGGAGATGTGGTCGGGGGCTCCAACGCGACCTCCAAGAGTGTGATGTATGAAGGAAAGGTAATACCATAAACTTATTGAAAGGGCTGCAATGTACAATAAAATGTCCGAAAAATGTCCACGGTGATATCTTTTAGTATCTTGTTTTCGTCCAAAACCCGAAGATATTCACTTTAAAATTATAATATAAAGAAAAAGCAGCAAATCTCCATATTTAGGTTGAGTTGCTGATCGACTTTCTGTCTAATGACTAATTTTAGACACGGTGAAATAAGCATGCAAGCTTGAAAAGAGTCATAAATGTCTCCTGATCTCCCCTCAGGAATATGACTTTGTCTTCACCATTGACGTGAATGAGGGCGGGCCGTCCATGAAGCTTCCCTACAACGTGGCAGAGGACCCTTGGCTGACGGCGCACAACTTCCTGCAGAAGAACGACCTCAGCCCCTCGTTCCTCGACCAGGTAGCCCATTTTATAATAGAGAATACCAAAGGACAGGTGGTGGGACCAAACCCGCCCGCCGGAGGAGACCCATTCACTGGAGGAGCTCGGTATATCCCCGGAGCTTCTGATGAGAGGTCAGCCTTTGGAGCTGATCCCTTCACAGGTATTTACTTAATTTACTTTTTAACAATCTGACCATCACTAGAGATGCTGTTTTTTTTAACAGCTGTTTGATTTTTTTCTCGTCACAGGCTCCGGTCGCTACATCCCAGGGTCGGGTCCGAGCCCGAGCCCAATTGCTTCTTCAGGTGTGGCAGATCCCTTCACAGGTGAGTTACTACCTGAGGAATGTCTGATTT